ACTTTCTCCTCCTTGGTTACCTTTTTTCCTGAGTATTTTATTCTTTTTGATGGTATTGTAAATGGGATTGTTTTTTGTTTTTTGTTTTGTTTTCAGAGTGTTCATTGTTAGTGTATACAAACATGACTGAGTTTTGGGTGTGGATTTTATATCCTGCAACTTTGCTGAATTTATTGGTTCTAACTGTTCTTTTATGGAGTATTTAGGGTTTTCTATGTATAAGATCATGTCATCTGTGATGACATTTCCTATGCATAAATCTGATTTAATCCTGTAGGGTAGACCTTATTATTGCTGTTCTACATGTAAGAAAACTGGATGATTTAGTCAGTTTTGCTGGGGTGTGCTGCAGTAACAAACAAACAATCTCAGAGGCTTAGGACAGTAAAGCTTACTTGTTCATGTTGTACTTCCCCTAAGGTCCATGTCTTCTTTCTCCTGGGTTCAGGCTGATACATGTGGGATGTTGCCATGGTAAAAAGAAAATGTCAGGAATGGAACCTTTTAAAGCTTCTGTTTGGAAGTGGCTCACTTACTCCCACTGACATTTTACTGGCCAAAGCAGTCACACGGCCACACTAGACTTTACTGGGACAGTATCTGTATTCTTCCCAAAGGATGGCCCAAAAGACAGGGGCTGGTAGGCAGAGGGAATGAATCACGGTAACCTACTATACCATACTGGGACCCAGCAAGACCAGACACTTAGAAAAGGATATACAGCTGAAACAGCTATAATGTTATATTAGATGAGACTATTCAAATCAGGTAGGAAATTCAAATAGATAGGAAGTTTCACGAAGGGAACAGTAAAGAAACATTATGTGCCTTGTCTATGAACTTCATTCTTAGAAAACTTACCGCCAGTTATGCTGCTGGTCCATTAAATATACTCACAGTTTATTGTTCTCCTGTATCCTGAAAATGAAACTCTTTGACACTGGTTTTCTGGGTCAGGACATGCTCTCTGTGTGCATGATGCTTCGCTCATCTTGATCCCGAAGTGATGCCTTACTGATAGGGCTCCACGAGCTTTTACACCAGGGTGAGACCTTACCCAGTGACATTGCTTCTACCTGCACGCACTTTACTATTAACGTAACACATTTCTTTGCTGCCCCCAAACAGTGCATTCTCCTGTAGAATATAACCAAATTCTGTTTGTTCTTTTAAAATTTTTTTCCTGTCTATTAGGATTTAAGTGGGTCAGAGCTACTTAGGAACACTTTTTACAAATACCATATATTTTTATGGGCAAAATAGAAGATAATAGAGAAGGAGGGGGAAAAGCCTGGTGTGGAGGTTTAGGGATCTGGGTTATAATCCTCGCACTACCACTAGGCAGCAGTGTCACTTTGGATAAATATGTTCTTCTCTTGGTCCCAGTTTCCTTATTTGTAGAGCAGATAAATTGAACTAGATGATCTCAGACTTTTTTTCAGGTCTCTTAAATGAATCCTGTTCCCTTATTTTCCTCAGTTAAGGAAAATTCCAGTTAAATTCCAGTGCCTTGATTTTTCATATGAGGTTTTTTCATATGAGAGCAAAATTTACTCACGTTCATGTCACTGGTAGAATTAGATATTTTATATATTAAAATATATAAACATAGTACAACCTTACCTATTTAAACTAAGTAAGAAAGAAGGCCTTCCTGAATCCTTGAAATACCTCAATTACCCTCTCCAGTTACTTTATGTACTTTATTATCAGTACCAAAAGTAATAAGTAGTCTACCAAAGCATAGTAGAATTTCTTGGGGGAATTTATTTAAATACATAGTTGCCGTATTCGTATTTTTGTTTTTGTTTTTTTTTAAAGATTTATTTATTTATCTTGAGAGAGTGAGAATGAGAGAGAGAGAGTACATGAGAGGGGGGAGGGTTAGAGGGAGAAGCAGGCTCCTCGCCGAGCGGGGAGCCCGATGCGGGACTCGATCCCGGGACTCCAGGATCATGACCTGAGCCGAAAGCAGTTGCTCAACCGACTGAGCCACCCAGGCGTGTATTCGTATTTTTGATTGTACGTTGTCATTCTTGAAGTATACTTGAAATAAGGAATACTTGAAATTTTCCTTTTGTGAATATATTGTCATGATTTTCCAATCTCCATTGTTAATAATATAAGCATAAACTAAGATAATCCTTGGATTATCACAAATTCAAAATTATTAGCATCCAAATTATTGTAGAAATGAAATTTCATTTAAAAGTGGGTGATAGATTGTTCAGTCATTTGATTGTGGAAAACCATTTTGTAAGCACTATCTAAATCTAAATTAAAATATAGTGTGCTAATGCTGAACAGGGCACTTGGGACATTTCCTGAAAGTTCTCTCAGGCTTAAGCTGTTGTTCCATTTCTGTATTTACAGTGTCTGTTTCTGTCTGTCTCTTTAACTCTCTCTCTACAGTTTCATCTACACATCCACACATATATGTAAATACAGGTTTATTCATATATACATGCATATATAATATACATGAATTGTTAGGGTGGAAAGAAGATGGAGAGAAGTGGATAGATGTGAGTGGTATTTGGGAGGTGAAACAAATGGATGTTGCCGATGGATTAGCCATTGTGAGTGGGAAGCAGGAGTCGTTAAGGGTGACTCCTAGGTTTTGGCTTACTTGGCTAGGTTCATGGTAGTGTCATTTGCTGAAATAGGGAAGGAATTAAGGAAAGGACAAAGTATGAGGGAAAGAACGTTAGGTTAGTCTTAAGGATATTGAATTTGAGGTGCCTTTAAAACATTCATGGGAAGTCATATTGAATATTCCTATATGAAGCTGAGCAGGCTGGAGATACAAATTTAGGAGTCATCAGCAAATGAAAGTTAATTAAAGTTGTCTGAACCTTTGAAGAATAAGTCAGTGCCTGATTTTGGGATTATAAATCTGCAAAGAAGATTGGAAAGGAGCAGCCTGAAAGCTAGAAGAAAATCTAGCTTTTCCTCCAGTATGAGAATTTCAGAAGCAAGATCAATGGTGATTGAGAGGTCAAGTAAGATTAAAAGAATGTTACTGGGTTTGGTGACAGAAAGGTGTCATTGGTGATTTTGCAAGAGTTGTATTTTCTTAATCATTGCCCTGATATTTCTTCACCCACAACACTTCCTTGACACCTCAATTTATATTAAATTAAGTCTATACTTTTTCACTTGGTGTTTAACGCCTTTCATGATTTAATTGAAGTCTAATTTTAGAGCCTTGTACACCCAGCTTCTGAACACATACCTGAAACTCCAGCCAAACTCATTAACTCACCATTCCCAGGCAGTTGTTTTCTTGTGGTCTTTTTCCTCCTGCTTTTGCCTTCACTGTCAGTGAAATCTTACTGGTCCTTGGAGACCCAAACCAAAGAGCGGCTCATTCATGTGTCCTTCCCTGTCATTTCCCACCAAATGAGCTCTCAGGTCTGAACTTCCAAATGCTTTCTTTTCACATCTCAGATGACAGGTACATCTTACAAATGATCTTACATTTTTATTACTTTGTACTTGATCCATTTATTAAGTTATGAGCTTGAGATTAGAGACTTGTTTCACTAATGTTATAGCTTCCAAAGCATCTGTTTTCTAAATACATGAATACAATTTAAAGAATATACTTCACAGAAAACAACCTGTATTAGCCACTTTTAGTCATTGTGCCAAGTACCTGAAGACATGGTTGCAATTTCATTTATTATTTACAATAAGTGTATGAAATAGTTCTCCTTTCACAGATGCGAAAACTTGTGCTTTAGAGAGGCATACTTTTTTAAATAAAGATTTTATTTATTTATTGACAGATAGAGACAGCGAAAGAGGGAACACAAGCAGGGGGAGTGGGAGAGGGAGAAGTAGGCTTCCCGCCGAGCAGGGAGCCCAATGCAGGGCTCGATCCCAGGATTTTGGGATCATGACCTGAGATGAAGGCAGACGCTTAACCGACTGAGCCACCCAGGCGCCCCTACAGAGGCATATTTTTAAAATACATCTTTGGGCTAGGGTTTATTAATTATATTTTAAAAGAGATGCAGCTCAGACTCTTCACTATAGAGAACTAATGGATTATTACTGGAAGGGAGGTGGGTGGAGGGATGGGTGAGATATTTGATGGAGATTAAGGAGTGCACTTCTGATGAGCACCAGGTAATGTATGGAAGTGGTGAATCACTAAATTGTACACCTGAAATTAGCATTACACTGTATGTTAACTAACTGGAATTTAACTAAAAACTTAAAAAAAAGATGAAGGTCCAAGATTTACAAAAAGAAGGCTATTGAAAGGCTAGCATCTAAAAGGAAGTGTGTATGTGGGTACACACATGCATTATGTGCATGCACAGAAATTTTTTCAGATAGCCACAGACTGATCTAAAAGTAAAACTTATTGAAATTTGTCGTGAATTTAATGGAAAACAAATAGTTTTAGGAAATTTCTTACTATATCTTAATTGACTTTTTCATTGCTGTGACCTAATTTAAATTCCTATTAAACTCTCTAGAAATTGACCTAATGAACTAAAAAGTATATCAACTCATTCATAGTTTTCCTTTCTCCTCTTGCACTGCCTGCTGTAGTTGTTTGGGTGTGTAGTGATGAAAGAAAAATACACAAAAGTTTATTCATGAATAGAAAGGAGTAAAACTTCCACTAGAAAATTTCCTGCTACTTTTTTTCTTCTGATTTTTCTCCTTCAATTCCTTGTAGTGTTTATTGTATGCAAAGCATTGCTGTGCTCGGTGCTGGAGAAATACAAAGCTATGTCTTAAGGAACTTACAGTCTGGTGTAGAAAATAGCCATGTAACATTAACTACTTCCAGCATAATAAAATCAGTATGAGGACTACACTACACTGTGGGTGTGCTGAGAAGGAAGTCACTAATTTTGAGGAGAGATGGGTGCTAAATTAAGAAGGACTTTTTTGAAAGTAGTATATTAAAATCTTTACAACATAAATGATCTATTTTGAGAACTAAAGGAATAATGGCTTTTCTTTTGTTTTCTTAATAGACAAAGAATGCTGTTCAAGCTTTGATTGATAAGCACCAAAGAATACCGGGAAACATTATGAGCGCTTTGTTAGAACGTTTTCATAAAAAACAAAAGACCAACTAGAAGACCATTTAATCCATTTATATTAGTATGTTTGTGTCTGTGGTACTGTCCTCTAAATTTTGTAGGTTCTATAATTACTATTTAAAAAAAAATGTTAATAAGCATCCTAGACTGAACTTGTTTGTTTAAAATTGTATTGTTGATTTTGTTTTTGCAATCAATTGTGTCAAATTTAAACAGTAACTCATCACATGCCTAATAATTCAGAAAATGATCATGTTTCTTTTTATAAATTCCTGATAATGTATAATAAACATATAGATTTTAAAAATTAAGTTCATTAATAATTGCAGTTTAGGTTAAACAAACATTCCTAAAATATTGCATCTAATTTCTGTATCTGTTGCACTGAGCTAATTTTGCAGGATGGCATAATTCAGTACAGACACTGAAGTTAGAGAAGAAATACTCTTTCTTCCGCCTCTCATTCCTTTCCTGACCTTGGGCGAATCATGTAATGTTTTTATGCCTCAACAATTCACCCTATAAAAACATGCTAACACTATTATTAGCATGAATATTATTTTAAATTCTTTTTTTAAATTTTAAATTCCTTATATTTGCTCTGATTGATAACTAAGGAACTGAAATTATAACTGAATTAAACAATACCAAGAATTTTTAAAAGTTTATGTATATATTTGGTCCACACGGTGTTTAAATTATTTCTTTAGGTATGATGTCAAGTTGCCAAGCACAATGGAAAAGATACACTGTTTTTCAAATTGAATAAAAAAAATTAGGAACACTAAAATTTCTAATAATCATTATTATTTTTAGTATTATATTTTTTAACAAGAATCTGTAGACACACCATATAGGGTGTGCTATGCATTGTCAGCTATGTAATATGGCATTTAATAGTATAAGGTTAGAAATCACTGTTGTGCTCTACATTTCATATGTTAGAAGTTGATTCTAGGCTGATAAAAGCAGAGCTAAAGAAAGTTCTGCTTTTGCTCAGTACCATGGCTTATTCAGTTTGACTTTGCAAACAGTCAAATGGTTTATTGTTTCAATAAAAATATACTTGAATGATAAATTTATGTGAACACAAAGCTTTCTGAAAAATTAATGGCTTTCGATTTGTTGTCTCCTTGAAATCTGAATTTTAAAAGTATTTAAATGGAAGAGTACCAGAAATCAAATGCAGTATCTCCCTCTTCCTTTTTTAGATATTAAATTACTTGGATTTTTGTATAAATTTTTGTATAACAAGTATATATGTATATGTGTAATGTATATAGAATTAAGCAACATAAAATAAAAGTAAAGGTGAATTGCAATTCATTTTCTTGTGAAATTGCATATGTGACATTTTATTTTAAACTATTTTTTTGTTTTACTATTTATTCATTTTTCACCCACAATCATATTCATCCGTCTCAACCACAAAGAATAAACCTCACTTTCTAATGTAATAAATATATTTTAATTTCAATTTCAATGAAAAGAGTCAATTAGTGATTATTTGCAGCTTTTCCCCCCCTAGCAGTGAACAGTGTTTGTTTGAAATCAATAAATATTTCCAGAATGAATGAATAAATGATTATAAAACAAATGAGAATAATGTTTTGGGGCAACGATTGGTTTTTAAAAATGGAAGAAAGAACAATATTCATTGCTAATGTAGCAAAAGCTATTATTTTTTTACAGTATTTAAGTTTTACTGCTTTACTTAAAATCTTGTTTTGTTCTCTGATACTCAAACTGGAAGCCATCCTGTCTTGCTCAATGCAAGATCTTTGTCTTTGCTATTTGAATTTAAGTGCCATTTAGAAGAATGAGGGAATATGGTCAAATATAGAAATGCAAGTAATAAAAGGGGATGTTCTTAACTTTTTGAAAGGAGTGTTCACAAGTCTGATGAAAGCTACGGACTCTCCAGAAGCATGAACATGTGGGAAGTCTTTCATATCCTTTAAAAAAAAAAACTTTAACTTTGCAACAATATCAAATTTACAGAAAAATTGTAATAGTAGTACACAGTACTCCCAATATACTCTTCACCCAGATTGGCTAATTGTTATGTCACATTTGTTCTCTTCACTCACCCCTCCCCCCTATATATAAATTTATAAATAATTTAAATGTTTTCTTCTGAAAGAACTGATACTAAATTGCAGATACCATGCCCCTTACCTTTACCCTTGATTATAAGGCCATCCATTCACAGCACCACAGAGCAATGATCCAAATCAGGACGTTTATCATTGATATCTAGTATTATCCAATCTTAAGGCCAGATTTAAATTTCACCAGTTGTCTCAATATCCTTTATATCAGTTTCTCTTCTTGAGGCATGGTTCACAGCAGGATCACAATTTGCATTTAGTTTTCATATTTCTTTAGTCACTAATCTGGAATGATTCCCTAGCCCTTTGTCTTTAATGATACTGACATTTTTGGAAAAGACAGAATGTTTTGTAGATACCCTTCACTCTGTTTTTGCATGATTTGATTCAGGTTATGCATTATTCCAGAAACACTAAATGATGCTGTGCTCTTTCAAGTGTTTCATGTCAGGAAGCACATAATGTTGGTTTTTGTCATTAGCAACGGTAATAACTTTGATCACGTGGTTAAAATGGTGCCCACCAGGTTTCTTCCTTGTAAATTTTTCCTTTGTATTAAGTTTATGGAGAGATACTTTGAGACTATGTAAATATCTGTTTCTCATCAAACTTTCACCCTCCAGTTTTAGCATCCTTGAGTTGACTATTTCCTGAAATAATTACTACTATGAGGTTTTCAAAAGTGTGATTTTCTAACTCTATTCTACATTTATTAGTCGGCATTCTACTATAAGAAAGAATTTTCCAATTTTTGCTCTCCCCACCTACTTGATGTTATCATTGTGGACTCTGAGATTCATATTTTATTCAAAGGAGTATACTTACACTTTTAGGTAATTTAAATATGAGACCCTCTGAAGTTTATAGCATTTATGAACCTTTGAAATAATATTTACAAGGGTAGGTGGGATATGTTTTTGTATTTGTATCTGATTACTATTTTTAAAATATATTTTTGTTACCTTTGTATTGTAAAATGTACATAACAAAATTTATCATTTTAGCCCTTTTTAAGTATACAATTCATTGGCATTAAATACATTTACAGTATTGTAGAACCATCACTACTACTCATTTCCAGAACTATTTCATCATCCCAAACAGCAATTCTGTAGCCTTTAAATAATAACTCTCCATTCCCTGCTTTCCCCAGCCCTTGGTAGCATCTTTTCTACTTTCTGTCTCTATGAATTTGCCCAATCTCTGTATTTTATATAAGTGGAATCAAAATATTTATTCTTTCATGTCTGGCTTATTTCACTTAGCAAAATTATTCGGTATCTTCTTTGACACCAGATAACATAGTTCTATTGCCAATTCTCCAATCTCTGACATCAACTGGGTTTCCTACAATTCCATTAAATTCTGACACTAACTATTGGAGGGAGTTAACACACACCCTACAAAGTATGGCCTCAGTCCCATAAGGTTGTCCTCACTCAGGTGCCAGTTGCAAATAGGGCCTCCAGGCTTCCCCCACTTCTGCCTCTGCCTGGCCTACTACAGATTTGGAGGTTTCCATGATTTCCTCCCAACCCTCTCAGGTTGGATAATTAGTAGCACAACTCACAGAACTCAGGAAAAAGCCATTCTTACAATTTTATTATAAAGGATACAACTCAGGAACAACCAAATGGAAAAGGGCAAGGTATGGGAGTAGGGGGTGTGTCAAAGCTTCCATGTTCTCTCTGGGTGTGCCACCTTCCCAGCATATGATGTGTTCACCAATCCAGAAGGCTCCCCCAAAGCTTATCTTGGCATCATTGGTTGACCTCTCCCCTCCCTGGAGATTGGGGATGGGGCTGAAACTTCTAACCTTCTAATCACATAGTTTTCCTGATAACTAGCCCCATCCTGAAGCTATCTAGCCTTTTCCCACCATACCCAAGTAGGAGTCATTAGCATAAAATAGGTATTCCTATCACTCAGGAATTTACCAGGATTTTAGGAGCTCAGCACCAGGAGCTAGGAACAAAGACCTAATACATATATATTTTATTACACCACAATAATGTTTTCAAGTTTCATTCATATAGCATGTATCCCAATTTTGTTCCTTTTTATGGCCGCAAAATATTCCATTGTATGTGTATAGCACATGTTGTTTATCCAAAGTGTTGTTTCTACCCTTTGGCTGTTGTGAATAATGTTGCTATGAACATTGTTGTACAAGTATCTGTTTGAGTTCCTGCTTTCAATTCTTTTTGATACATACCTAGGAGTGGAATTGCTGGATCATGGTAATTCCATGTTGAACTTTTTGAGGAACCACCAAACTAATTTCCACAGACTACCATTTTACATTCCTGACAGCAATGTACCCGGATTCCATTTTGTCCGTATCCTCATCAACACTTGTTATTTTCAATTTTTTTATCCTAATCGGTATGAAGTGGTATCTTATTGTGGTTTTGATTTGCATTTCCCTAATGACATGATTTAATATCTTTTCATGTGCTTGTTTGCCATTTGCATATTGTCTTTGGAGAAATGTCTGTTCAAGTCCTGTTTTTGTTTTGAGAGTTCCTTATATATTCTGGATATTAATCCCTTATCAGTTATATGATTTGCATTGATCCCATTCTGTGGGTTGTGTTTTTACTCTCTTGATAGTGTCCTTTGTTGAACAATTTTGTTGAGATCTAGGGCCTCCTGGGTTCAGTCATTTGAGCCTCTGGCTCTTGATTTTGGCTCAGGTCATGATCTTGGGGTCATGAGATCAGGCCCCACATTGGGCTCCCCACTCAGCAGGGAGTCTGCTTGGGCTTCTCTTTCACCCTGTCCCTCTGCCCCTCCCCCACTCTCTAGAATGGCTAATAAATCTTTAAAAAATTTTGTTGAGATCTAATTTATCTACTTTTTCTTTTATTGTATTTGCTTTTGGTGTCATATCCAAGAAATCATTGCCAAACCCAATATGAAGCTTTCCCCCTATTT